GTGTGTGTGTGTGTGTGTGTGTGTGTGTGTGTGTGTGTGAGTGAACTTGGCTCGGGCTCAGTAATGACAGGATTTGTTAAACAGTAAATTAATGAATAATGAAATATCCAGCACGCGCCTGCCTTGCCTGGAGCACAGTGCCCCGAGCAGGAATTACTCCCGACCAGCAATCGGTTGTCTGTGTGCTGCATAACCTGTGTGTGTGTGTGTGTTTGTGTGTGTGTGTGTGTGTTGGATAAGCATTTTTACAGCCCATTGCGTGACAGAATGCTGAGGGGCTTTGCTGATGGGGGTCTGCTCCCTCACTTCCCAGCCAAAACGACAGACAGACAGACAGGCAGACAGGCAGATAGACAGGCGGACAGACAGGCAGCATATAGAAAAGACCGTCACCACTTCTCTCACACTTGGCATCTATCAAACGTTCTCATTGTCCTCATAAGCTCAGTCCATGCTCATAACTGGATTACCCTCCGCTGGTCCTCTCATTAAAGTAACAACCTGTGACATTTTCATAAAAATAAATTTTGCTCCCCATTAAGACTAATTCATCAAAGACATAAGTGATTCATATGAGATCCAGCTCCTGAACGCTCATTTGCTGTTTTAAACACTCTGCAGCTGCTGGACTTTTCCCTGGTGCACAGGAAGTGTTGTTTTTCACCCTGATCAGACATACAAAAACAAACTTTGACAGACGATCTCAAACCCATGCAGAATTGATACTTTTTCACAAGTTATTACAATTTATGTAATATCATGCTGAAAATCCACACCTGTAATAATCCAGATGTTGAGGTCTATAGAAGTGAGATCTGGGGACTGTCCCACCCCAACCTTTTCTACTCATCCTGCCTCAGACTTTTGGCTTCTCGCGTTCTGGTCTTCTCTGTAATGTAATGCCTCAACAGTGTCACAGCGCCATGATACATCTCTTTTCAATTCTCATATTCTGTCGTTGGTCTTAGCTGCAGAAGTCGGAATAATTTCTCCATGCCAGAAACTCACAGAGGGCTGTGAATGGATGTCTTGTTAGTAGAATAATACACAGAGGGGAGCTGGATAATTGCATTAGAAAGCTCCACTGACTCCTGTGTTCGCCTGGAATGTTATATTTTCATTTTTACTCTCGGTTCATATTAACTTGTATTTGTTAATTTGAGAGTTTGCAGGGTTTCAGTGGAGAGTAGCAAACAACACATTAAAACAGTAAGTGACAAGCATTTTTTTTTTAAGGATTTAAATGAGGTTTGATTTGTGGTATTAGTATCTAATGATGAGTCCAAATTTTTTTGTTGTATATAATTTTAAAAAAAAAACACTAAACAATCACTGCTCTGCATCACTGCAATGGTGGTGACCATTGAAAAAAAAAAAGAATACAAAGAAATCACACAATTTAAAAAGTTTTAGTCAACATTAAATGTTATACAATTTTTTTGCTAATGAACATCTATATTATCGAGGAATAACTCTTTAAAATGGTGCATTTTTCTGTGTGTGCCTTACAAATGTGCAATATATATTTGGCCTTTTATGAATAAAATCTGTAATATTTGTAATATCCTACACAAGATGTTATAGGGAAATTCCCCAAAACCAGATTTGCATGAACTTGGAAGACTCATTTGTGAGCACCAGGTAGTTTCTGCACAGACAGAGCCTTGACTGAAGCATTTTCAAGAGGCCTGGGGCTTGATACAGAGAATTGAGAGAAGAAAAAAAAAAACCTTTGTTGGCAGTAGTAAGAATTCCTTCACCAGCCACTGATGTTACTCCTACTTGGATTCTCATGTTAAAACACACTGATGACTTGATTTATGCCACAAATGAATTGCATTTTAATTGTTTTATTCAATGCTAAAATTTTGTTTAATATAATTTTTTATTATGCTCAAATTACACTCTAGGATTTGTATGGTCTCATTAGCTGTTTTTGAATTGGAAAAATTAAAATCCTCTATAAACTACAGCATCTATAATTCTTCTTCATTAACACCAAGCTGAGTTTGTGCACCAGTAAAGTTTCTTAAATGTAATCATCACATTTTAAGCCCTGCTGGTGGTTGCTTAGATTTAGTCATCACCACAGACCTACTTTTTGTTTACAGACCAAGGCCATAAAAAATAGTTGGTAAATGTTTTGATTTTAATTCCACCAAATCAAAAGCATTTTAATAGCATGGCTATCTTCAGTGAATTATTTGAAGCTTTCCACTCAGTTTGATTAATCCACAACAGAAAAATGTAGGCTATCATTAAAATGTCATTACATTATTTTAGATTGAGGTCCTTTCAATGTTTAAAATGACAATGTCATTTAATTAAAGGATAGTGTCTGACTTAATTTGTGAGTGGCGTTTCTCCTGGTGTTTGTTGCTTTTGTTTTCTTTGGCTTGTTTGTTTATTGTTCCAGCCAACCTGTCGTCCTTGTTGTTGTAGCCACTGATGCTCGGCAGCTTCTTGTCTTTGTTGAGCGGGAATCGCTCGCGGACATGCGGGTGCTGAACTCTGCACCTGCGTCACGCGGTGTTCCGCTCCACGGGTCAACTGAGCCCGCGGGAGAAATCCCCCCCCACCCCCCTCCAAGTCTCTCTCTATGTCTCTCACTCGCTCTCTCCAGCTCCCTGTTTTCTTTCTCTCTCCCGGTCTCTCTCTTTCTCATTAGCTTTCTTTTTCAGTCTCTCTCTACTTTTCTCTGTGTGTCTCGCGCTCTCCCGTCATTAGCACACCGGCGGTAGATCCCCACTGCAGAAGCGGGCCCGCGAGGCACGATTCTATTCCCCCTGCGCGCGTGCGAGAGAAAGAGAGAGAAACCTCTCTGAAAACGAGGGGCCCTACTGGCTGGAAAATGCAGCCAATTATCTCCCTGGAATAAGACGGTATCCATCAGTGTGTGTGTGTGTGTGTGTGTGTGTGTGAGTGTGTGAGAGAGCCTATTCATTTCTGAGGCTTTGCAATATATGGACTCCAGACTACTGGCACTTTCTATAATAGCTTTGCTAGGGTTTAGAGTATGACAGTAATAGTAATACTAGTAATAGCAACCATGATGATAATAATGATAATGATCATTTGGCCTAATATTCTTGGACATGATCATACATGTCATATTCAACCATTTCATCCTTTATCTCTATGTCACCAATGGTCACATATCGGTCCATTAAAAGGCCCCATCAGCACTTTCTGGCCATGCAAACCACAATTATAACAAGGGATATAATTAAAGAAATTTAACCTGGGACATGGATCCATACATAAAATATAGGTATTGGTAATTATTTTTCAATATAAAGGCCTGCTTCACTCTAGAAACATTACTGAAGGAGACAATCCTTAACAGCATCAGAAAATAATAAAAACTTAGATTTTTTTTTTTATGTACTAAAACTCCTGTACTGGTTTTAAATTTTGGTGGCAAGGTTACCTTTTTATTTACATTCGAGCCAATGATTGTGCCTTTAAATGTCACTGTTTCTACATATATCTCTTCGCTGTCGGAAGATTTAAAGGCCAGATTGCCTTCCCATTTTCTCCTTGAAAAGTAGTGGTCACACTGAGTAAAAGAAATATCTAAAATACTAATTCCTAGTTTTTTTTTTTTTGTTGTTGTTGTTTCATGTCTTCACAATAACCAGAAATTCATTGCCTGCTTCTGTGAATAATTGGTATTACTGAAAATAAAAGTTACATGAAATCGCAGTTTATCCTTGGCCCAGTAATTAGATCTTAATGTTGTTTTTTTTAACACTGGTACAAAAACCAGCATGACATTTATGTTGTAATGAACACAAAACAACTGTTAAACACTAACTCACATTTCACTTAAACCAGAATGACTGGCAGAGAGTTTGACACTCTGAATATCACAGTGAATAACAATCAGGAAGTTGCATTTTCTTTTGAACCCTCCAAATGTAAACTCTTTTACTTACAGGTGTTCATTAATATTTCATGAAATAAGTAAAGGCAAATGCCCCAACATCATCTAATGAATATCATGTTTTACATTTTGAATAGATTAACCTGAATGTGAGTTGACCCGCCCAGCCCTGACTGACTAGGACTCTAGCGGAGAATATACCTGGAGAAAAGGCGCAGGCTGCACACCTCGCATAATAAAACACATGGTTTATTATCAGTGTGATAGAAATGAAATCACTGGACAATTAGAAGCATGTCTACCCATCATCAGCACCATGACAACAGCTCTATAAGAACAGAAAAACACTGGATGAGTCCTGCCCCCCCGCCGGCTCACAAAGGTCGAATCACAGATAAATAGGCCTACTCCAAAATAGCTGGTGCACCTATTTACACAACCATCCATTTAAATTAATATAAATAAATATTTACACACATAAATTAACACCCTCCCTCCTCGTGCTCGTGTTAAATAACCAGACAAACCTGTTTCACAGATAGAATGCTCATCACCCACTTTTTCGTACCCACAATGCTTTTTCTGTGTGAAGACAAACACAAGCACACGCACACCACATTCACTCAGGCGCACACGCACACAATGTTGTTTGTCGGCTGCTCACAGCATCTCAGTCTCACAGGATGCAGGCAGGGGGAGCAAAATGGATGTAACACAGTTACCACCATGTCCTCAGGGGAATGAAAAGAACGTAACACAGATGAAAAATCCCTCTGTGCTCTCTGACACTGGCCCACGGGTGTCTTCCTCTGCCTTTTTCTCTCTACCAAGCCTTCCTCCTTCTCCTCCACCTCCTCAGCCCTGTGTATGTGGCAGGTCAGTCGCAGTGGTGTAAAGCTAGAAGTAACGGTGTAACGCCTCTGTGTGTGTGGCTGCCTCCCGCTCGGCCCTGCGTCTTCCCCCTGCTTCATTTCCGCTGCTTCTCCTCTTTGTCGCCGGCCTTGTTGCCGGCGTCCCCGTGCCGGTTGTTGGAAGGGTTGTTGAGAAACATCTTGTCGAGTCCTTTGAGAGCCTCAGTGAGGTAGTTCTGGAGGGCGGTGAGCGCGGCGCAGATGGCGGGTGACCCAAAGCCGTGCGTGATGAAGGAGAAGTGGGAGAGGCAGCTCTGGATGCCGGGCTCCAGGATGGGGGTGGGCCTTGAGTTGCCCAGGGGAGTCCTGTCCTGGGCCAGCAGGTCTGTGAACTCCTTACACAGCTGTCTGCAGTGGGGAAGACAACAAGATGTCAGGAAGGAACTCTACACAACAACTGTCAGTATTCAGTGCCATTACATTTAATTCAAAAGTTTATTCTCTGTTTTCTTGAGAAAACAGGCTGCTACTAAATCTCATATAATCATGTTAAAAACTTTCAACTAAAAGCCAGGAATCTGTAATTATCAAGTGAAAATGAGCAGAGACCTCCAAGAGCCCAAAACATTAGTTGCACATAATCTGATTTGAGTTTCATAATTTGAGTTTGTTGATTTTTTTTATTATAGGAATTTGCACCACATCAAATAAGATCCTTCATTTTACCTAATCTTTGCCTGGTGTTCTATCACGGCCTATAATCCCCCTCCCCCTCAGGTTAACAGAGTAATCCAGCCATGGGACCCACTAATGCAGCATCGTGGGGAATTTAATCAAAAAAATATCTCATTAAAGAGATATTTCAAGTTGATAATCCATTTTTAAATCGCATTAAAATCCGAACACAATGAGTGGCCGATATTGGCCTTGTCAGCAAACCAGTGCACAGGATAAATTGTGGAACTGTGCCTCAGTACATGCACCCAAATCAGCCACATGCCTCTGTGTGTCACCGTGTCAGGGGATGATAGTGACGATATTTTGCAGCATGAGTTGCAGATGTTCTTGCGATGCTAACTGCAACTACTCTGAATTGAAAAAAATAAAATAAAATAAAAGTCTTATAGAGCAGGGAAACGTGTGTTACAGGAAAAAGAAGCATGTTCACTTTAAGCTGCATTTCAGTGTCTCTTTTTTCTTTTTAAGAATTTCAACAACTCAACAGATTCAAATACAATAGTGATGTTGCAGAGCAATATCTTAGGATAAGAAATGGTGTCCTGTGATCTACAAATTGTCTCCCAAATAAAACCAACAACAAACAAATCACTCGACTGACTCCGTACACTGCTCTCTGAATATATAAATGATGATTGCTGTATTTAGTGGATCGTGGTTTGCACCACAAAGCGAAAAGCAGCGGTTCCTCCAGAATAGCGCTGTTGTAAAGGTGGAAAGAAAAAGAAGCATTCAGACCATCACTGCAACCCAGACTGATGAAATTCTTGCAGGTAGTTCAGCAGCTCCAGAAGGCAGCAGCGTGACCCCACCCATCTATTCACTGAGACAGGATTCACTGAGAACTTTGAGCTATAAAGCTTGTTGCATCAGTTCTGTGCTAAACAAGACAAGATGTGAAACACGTAAAAAAAAAAAAAAATCTCCCTCAAGTCACATGGTGAAAACTGACACCACAGCTTCGCTAAATTTTTCACTGTTTTTACAGGGTCACAGGAATGTTGTACTCCATCCTCCTGCACTTATTTTATCCTTTTTATTCTAGAGGTTTTAAGTGTTAATATAAGAATCTTGCACTGCTTTACAGAGGAGGAGTTTATGTTGAATACATAAAATGTTGATGCAAAGAAATTCTAATTTCCCCAGATAGGTTTGCATGACATAATGTATCCCCAAAGGCAAAAATTTCCCTTTTGTATCCCCTTTACCTAAGGCCTTTTTTGTGATCTAGTGTAGCAGTTTGTTTTTTCTTAAATTTTTCTGAACCCATGTTCCCTCTGCCTTCTTCCATCTACTATTCTTTCATTTTGTGATTCCCTGTGTTTCCCAGAATGCCTTTGGAAAATAATCACAAAAAAAAAAAAAAAGCACGAACCTGATGCAATAAGATGCTGCAGTGTAGTTGTACGTGGAAAGAGTGGTAGTATTTTTCCAATTGAAAGAATGGAGTATTTCCTTCCCTGGAAAACACACCTTGTGGCTCAACTGTATTCTGGTACTGTGAGATAACTGTCAGTGAAGGATTTGCTGCAAAATGTACTTTTAATTTCACTTTAACGACTGACATTTATGTTTATCTAAAGCATGTTTTTTTTTTCTCTGCATGGCTATCCGACTCCATTGGACACCATCTTAACCTTTAACACCTGCTCCATATTCTTCAGGAATATATGAAAAATACTCTCATCAAACATGAAAATGCAAACAGAATTACAAGGCTAATGCCAATAGCACATTTCTCTTCACAGTCCAAACCAAAAATAATACGAACCTAATGATAAAAAAAAATCTGTTCAGTTTGAGGCCTTCACATTAAGAACAAATCTCTAATTGTTAATGTGTCATTTGTGAAAAGAGGACACTAAATGCATCTTTATTCCTCACCATATGGCTCCATAAAAAAGTGCATCGGTGAAAGAGAATCACCTCTTCACCTCGTTCTCCTTGTTACTTTTCAGCAAATCATCCTTTGGTTTTAGGCCCACATATTATATTCAGGAGACCCATCTCTCTCTCTCTCTCTCTCTCTCTCCCTCTCTCAGCAGCATTCTCGCATGCCCCATGCACACACACACACACACACACACACAGACTAAGAGGCCTAAGGGCAGAGCTCCAGCAAATGAGTGACAGGCTGTGCAGGCCAAGCCCAGCTGGGGTTAGGGGAGTAGAGAGGAGAAGCCGCCACCGCGGGCTACACTCAAGGCTCTCGCTGTTGTTTTCTGGCGACTTGAAACACTTCACTGCTAAATAATGAATTTCTAACAGGCAGCACCGACACCCCGTATTGGAACAGGTTTGAATCTGAGCATCAAACATCTACCACCGAACACACCCTACATACTGAGTACCACACGAACGCAAACACACACGCACACACACGCACACACACGCACAGACAGACAGACAGACAGATGGTTTATGCAGTGCAGGCCAGCAGACAGCACTTTTTATGCAAGCTAAAAATACAAGCTTTTTAAAGGGATCTTTGATTTACAAGAAAAACTCACATTCAGGGGAATAAATGCACATCAATTAGAGCTACTCATTAATTAGCAGAAGACGTATTTTCTTGACTGGGGAAAAAAAAAAAAAAACAGGCAGAAATCTAAAGTGATTCAGTGATTTAATCCACATTTATAAATCCACATGACCACTGCTGCCCTGGTTTCTTTGGGAAAAAAAAAACTATCCTGCTCAGTTGCTAAAGGTAATCACAAGATCCAGGATTCAATTCCACAGTTTAACGGCCATAAAAATGGATTAATATAAGTAACTTTACGAGGAGAACCAGTAAAATGGATCGCTTCTGAGACCAGAGGAAGAGGTCAAACATACACTCACAACCTCAGAGCTTGTATTTTATAATGTCTGTGAGCTGTACAGGCCACATAAAGAGCATCAAATAAGGTTCATCTGTACTTGAGCTAAAGGTTATCCTGTGGATCCTGGAGTTGCATACAAAGCACTTCTGACACCCTCTCTTGATGTATTTAATAATAAGTTTATATCATAATCAGAAGGTGGAAAATGAAGCTTTGATATTTTTGTTCAATCATTATAAGACTCTTGGCTTAAATGTGGCTTTATCCACATTTGTTCAATGCGTCGACTGAATTTAAACCGCCCTAATTTTTCCTGTGTGGCAATTTTTCAATCAGCCATTTTCATCACAGCTTAGATCTATACTGAGCTCAATGCCTCTCATTAACAAAACGTCTCCTCTCTCCTTTTCAAATGTCAGTGTCTGGTTCACTGTGTGAGCTTAGACTGTGTGTGTGTGTGTGATATAGAGTAAAGCAAAGAGTAGCCTATGGAGGAGGCTTGCACACCCTTGGGGCGGGGGCCTCAGGAGGCCATGGAGGCCTCAGGAAAATGGGAGAGAGTTTAATTTCACAATACACCAGAAATATTCCTGTTCAGAGAGGTTGAGTGCTGTTTCTCACCTTGTGTGCAGCCATGTTGCTCCAATCACATGGGGAGCCTAAATACATGTCTATGAAATATGGGAACATCTGCTGCATAAGGCGACTCTCTCAGTGGAAATATCTCAGGACATTTCTGCTCTACTGGGAAGAAAAAAAAAGATCCTTCTTTCCTTCTTGCTCTTTTATATGCTGACAGAGGACCCTGACCTTTACACTATTTATTTTCCACTATCCCTCTCTCTGTTTGGATCAACCCAAATACCTCTTCTTCTTCTTTTTTTTTAATGATTAAACAACACGCAATAATCCCTGTACCACTGGAATCTCCCTGTGTGCCTCACTGCAGACATGTGTTATATATTCAATGAGAGGAAACACCACATAAAGACTGTGAGGGAGCAGAATCTAATCAAACGGTCCATCAAACTCACTTTGTCGCCAGCAGCATGTTTTTCCGCGTGTGCAGCTCGTTGGGGTCCGCGTGCTGCCGGTTGAGGTACTCGCTCACGGCTTTGGTGGGAAACTCCGTCTCGCAGATGTAACCGAAATCCCGGGCCAGGTGGACCGCTTCACCTGAGGGTGGGGGGTGGGGATACACGAGCGGTACATTACAGTCAATGTAAATATAATATAGACAAACAGAGAAAGTCAATATTTAATTTCACTACCATAACTGTCACTTACATTTTATGCCTAACCCCGCCCCCTCCAAATCCTCACGTGCGTGTTTTTTCAGCTTATAAAAAAATGAGTAAAGCGAGTTCATGTTTGTCCCATGCAGCCTAGCAAACGACACGTTATCACGTCATCTTTTTACGCACTACTTCCCCTCAGTGTCTTCGCAGCTGACGCCAAAACAATCGAAAAATGGAGAAAAAAAAAGAAATTGAGCTTTATTGTGAGAAAATTAAGAATATGAGTTAATTACTTGGTTTCCATCATTATTTAAAAAGGAGCTGATCTATTGTAGTGTACTTTTTGCAGGCAGGAGTGAACACAACCTTTAAACTTTGACCTGTAAAAGTTTAAAGCTTAATAAAAAATCTTTGAACTAGGTTTCCAAATGAACAGGTAAAATCATATAAGCTCCATGTGTTAGAAATAAGCCCCATGTACAAAATAAATGGGCTGCAGCCTAAAATGCTGGTGTACAACGGGGGAGGTTCCGCTCTCAGCTTTTAATCAATTCATTAATTAAATTAATTTAGCAAATCTAACCACATCTCTCCACTTGCTCAACATTGAATTTTTCTCTCCCTGGCTCTGCAGGCTCTTGCAGTTTATAGACACAGTGACTTTGTCAAGCCTGTGAGGTCATGACCTTTGCAGTCTCACATTTTAGCTTATTTGATTGGTACGTTTAGACTCTGGCTGTCACTTAAATAGCAGGAATAAAATCCAGGTGTATATCTTTATTTCAGTATGGAGTAGGGGTAGTTTCTGTGGAAGGAGGGAAGGGGGATGTTTTCTTTTTTCTTTTCTTTTTTCTAACTTAACAAATCTTTAGGTTTCTTGTCTGTTGACACATATTTCCCCAGACTGTCAGAATAAAGAGAGCAGTATTTCTTCAGTCACCTTCTACTAGAGATGTTAGTAATGTGACGTTGGCAGCTTTGCGTCTCCCAGCAGGTAAATTCAGTCCAATCTTCTCCAGCTTTTCCCTCAGACATTTCCCACCGTTTTTGGACTTTGCTCTGCAGAGACAAAGGAAACAATTTCATGTAAAAAAAACAAAACAAAAAAACACTTACTGTGCAGTAATATTTAGATGTATGTTATTAATATCCAGTTTGTCTCCAGAGAATTGCATGTTGTTAAATGACAGAGGCCTTTTCATAGCTCAGGGCTTCATTAATAGATTTTGCAGCATGGTGAGTGAGCCACATGCTTCTTCAGACACTGTCCACACACACACACACACACACACACATACACACACACGCACGCACACACATAGCGTGTGCGTCAACTTTCAGTCGTACCTTCTCAACACGCCCCCCAACAAGGAGGCGTTCAGGCACTCGGGCGGGGACAGTCTCCTCTGCACCTCCCCTACGGTCACTTTGTACTTGGAGGTGGAGCTGAGCAGCGACAGGCGGCCCGGTACCGAGCAGAACACCTCGTTTATGTTGACGGTGACTCCACCGATCAGGCCGTCCTTACCCAGCATCAGAGAGCCCACATTTTTGGGCGGCATGGGGACTGAAAGAGGAAGGTCACAGGGGCACGATGAGTGGATGTGTTACATAACAAGTTTCTTTTATTAAATACATGAGCAACATCCGGATCCTGCTCCAGCATCAAACCTTTAAACGTGTCTCTTCTGTCAAACTTAGTGCAGCGCGCTCTCAGAGGGCGTCCCTGGCCTAATGAGGCGCCCACGCGCCGGGCAGTTGCTGTTATTTAATGTCGCGCAACATTCTCATTACAATATTATCGATTGTTGATTGGCTCGCGCTCCCAAATCGCATTAACCACCTCCCCGTCTTTCCTCCACGGCCGGTTTAACTCCCACCAGCAGCACTGGGTGCTCCTCCATCCAGCGCGTTAATGCTCGCGCTAATGTTGTTAAAAAAAAAAAAAGAGGAGAAGAAGAAGAAGAAGCCTGCCAGGCTCGTGCATGCATGCGTAGGGGCCAGCGCGAGGGGTTTTTTGATAGCTCCACGGGGGATAATACCGCAGATTAGCTCTAAACGAGCTCACGAGATCTCCGTGAGCGGTGCCATTTATTACATCAGCGGCTTAAATGCCCCGCGGGGAGCTCAGTCACTCAACATCCCGTAACTAAATCACCGCACATCATCAGAGCGGCAGCAGCATGGCAGCCTGTCAGCGACACACTGCCTGCGAGTCAATATACTGGGATCGTTAACCCGACCTCTCCAACTCCTCACCCTGCACCCACAAAAAAATGAAAAAAACAAAAAAAAAAAACAGCCTCATGGAGATTTTCTGCCTGGTCCGGTTTAGATCCAGACATAGATCTATAGCCTATATATCTATCTATATCTGTCCATGTAGTTCTACACACCGTTAATACGATTTCATTGCACACATAAGAAATTAATTATATGACGGTACTGGGATAAAGAAACAGCAGGATAAACTACATATCAACAACCTACAAAAAGAGTTATGAATAAAATGTTCCCAAAATTATTGTGGGAAAAATATATCTTTTAAAATATATTTGATATTTATTTTATCATATTGTTGCATTGGTATAAGTAGCCTATATTGGCATCATTGCTCAGCGCACAGACATATAGGCCCATGTGTGTGTGTATGTGTGTGTGTGTGTGTGTGTGTATGTGTGTGTGTGTACCTTTCTTAATTACTGATTGATCCAGGATGTTCGTTCCGTTGGTGTCTTCAATGGTCTGTCAGAACCAAGAGAAATACAAATCTTTATTATAGACTTCTTTATACAACATCATCCGCACTGTAATGCTGTAATAAGCCACTTAACGAGCACGTGGAGCTTAGTGTTCAATTCAATCAACACAATCCAAGACGCACAGATATACAGACACACACACACAAAAAAATCCTGCAGGAGCCAGTTCAGATTTCAAAAAAATAGTTATTTGTATCCAAACAGCAAATAAATCTAGTTTATAATCCACTGGTTTAGTCATCATGATGCGGCCAGAAAAAAAGACCCTCATTCATCAATCTCATTCATCATCCTGCCAAATAAATTCCCCCTTTTAAATAGATCCGATGTCAAAAGGAATAATTCGTTAAAACAAATTTATATGGGGGTTAATAAATGCATGACACAAATACGGGAAGCCAGAAATGAGAATCTATTGTGGAGGTTAAATGGCAGACAATTCGTGATGGTTGTGCCCTGAGGGGGAAGCGAGGGTAAGATGAAATCCTACACAGCTCACTATAAAAGTCAGTTTCACAGAAGTCTGTGGCAGCTTTGCTTTGTGTTTGGCACCTTCAGCAGCAGCACACAAAAAAAAATCTATAGCATCCTGTAAAACAAAAATGACAGCCTTCAAATTCTATTAAATCAGCCACAACAATAACATCAGCATGAATAATAATAATAGGCCTCATAATAATAATAATAATAATAATAATAATAATAATAATAATAATAGTTTTGCACTATATCTTATATTTCTGCATGTCAAAATGAATACAAAAATGAATAAATATTGCAGCGTCTTCTTCAGACTTTTCTCCTTTAAATGTGTTTTCATGGTTGTGGCAGTAAATTCACAATCTGTGAAGCTCGCCTCATGCCACATCTCAGCATCTTCTCATCAAATACGTCTCAGGTCTCCTAAAGACAGTTTGTTTAGCTGTGGGCCGTTTGCAGTTTGAGGCTACAGCTGCTGGGAGAATCCAGCCCTGAGGGAGCTGCTCTGAGTTCACTGACCTTAGCTCCAAAGGCGCGGGAAACATGCGGAGACAGTGAAGAAGACAGCTGTCGACAATTACCAGCCCGCTTCTTCCACTGCAACCGTGTTCATCTTATTTATTTGTTTATTTTGATTTTGGTTGTCGCCTGTTCTAACTGTGTTCAAACTGAGCAAACGCGGTTACATTTTGCCTACCTGAAGTAAATATGTGTGTTTTAGTTAAAATGCCATTACTGTAAATGAGAATGTTCAAAATGATGATTAAAATGCATACATTTCATATCTGCTATTGAGATAATATTCAGTAATGGTGATAGAAATGCAGTGGCTTAATCCCTGTCCAGCGGTGTTCTCTGACGTGCAGGTCAGTTTTGTCTTTCTCGGATACAGTGATAATATCAGTGTCCTTAAAATAAGTTTTCAAAAAAAAAAAAAAAAGCAGTATGATTGTGTCTGTAAAACTGTTTTATATTCAACCCTGTGACCTTTGGCTCACCTGAACATCCTCCATACCGTGCAGCCCATGCAGCAGTCCGTCGCCCATACCGGGCTCCAGTCCCGGGTGAGCGGAGTGCAGCAGCACGTCGGGCCGCCGTACACCACCGTAGTCCCGCCGAGGGTCCAGCCCGGACAGTTGAGGCAGCGAGGCCCGAGGCTGCGCCAGCAGAGCCGAGCTGTCCATCCGGTCCCCGGCGGCGTCCTGCCGCTGCCGCGCCCCCCATGCGCCCTGCTGGCTTTGGTGCAGGGAGTTCAGGGAGTACGGGTCGCTCACGTGGGAGTACGGGTCCTGGCTCTGGTAGTGAGCGAGCGGCTGGTACGGCGGCGGGAAGTACGGAGGCTGGAAGTCCGACGAGGGCGCATGAGACAGCGGCGGCGCGCTGGAGTAGGGTCCCGCATGCGATACCGAGCCCAGCTGGGACAGACGCGAGCTGTGGCTCGAGACACCGTCATGCCGGTCCTTGAAGAGGGTGAAGAGGAGAACAGAAAAAAATCAGCTCTGTGCGGAATTAGATCCACATTTAAACCAAATGAAACCACATGGAGGCCCAGGATCATGATGCATTTATTAGAGTATAGCCCCTGGTGTTGTAGCCAGAGTAGCCTAAATAGCATTGAATCTCCTGAACAAAAAGCACAGAAGAGCCTGGAGGTAAAATGTTACAGCCTAATTTAAAATGTCTCAACGAAATCCTCACAGCAAAATCTACGGATTCACCGTTTGCGCAAAGGAATACAGAAATACACAGAGGGGAGAGAACTCACCGCAGTGGAGTATGAATGAACTAACATCTGTAAACCCTCTGTAGGTCTCACGGTAAAACAGCAGGATAGTGAAGACGTTGTTGGGCCGAGACAGACAAACTCATTCCAGGTGGAAGCAGTGCGTCGGTATCTGCAGGCTCGCGCTGCTGTACAGCTCCACACAGAACCTTCCTCCGCCCGGAGCTGCCGCCGCTCTGAGTGTGAGCACCGTGCTCCCGCCTCTACCCCCGGTATATGGTGTAATTGTTATTCATGACTGGGACTTACAGGAATATTAATGTGCGCGAGGCAGGGGACTGGCGACACATGGAGCGTGAAGCCTCTCGCGCAGCCGTGAGTGACGTTTAAATTCCGTGGAGAGCCGAAACGACGCGCGAACAGCAGGAGATAGAAAAGAAGACTCTCTCAAGCTGGAGAAAGCGAACAGGGTGTCCAGACCCGTGAGGAGTTCCCCCATCACAAAAATAATCGCTTTGGGGCCTTTTGTGGGCAAAGTCTGACGCAGGAAGAGCACACTTTCTTGCCTGTGGAGACAGTTTCCACAAACTATTTCTCCGCAAACTTGCTTTGACGCAAAAACCAATATAAGTCAGTGGATAACAATAAAGTGAACAGCTGTAAAAAAAAGCTTAACCATGACGGCAATACCACCAGGGTCACGGCTTCGGTTCCCATCGGGCACACTCAACATCTGAGCTCATATAAGACATTTAGAAAAATAAACAGCTCACTTTGACGCACAAAATATTTTTCACTCGCTCAGACATTTAAACTTCAACCTGATAACCACCTGAAAAATAAAACTGCGACTAATGTTGTGTTGCAGCTGCCCTCTGTTACTCAGAGAACACAGTCCAGGCACTACAGGGCGCGTGAAGGGGCTCGCGTGAATGGTGTCAGCAGTCAAAAGAAGCGATTAAACTTTATATCGTAGACAACGCGGCCCCTCTTTCTTTGCCCTCTTTGGGCGACTTGTTTAACAACATTACAGCCTCCCCTCCCCTAGCGCCGTGGGAGAAAAGCCATGTGCGGCACGAGACAAGGGCTTCCCACCGGGCTGAGCCGAGGGGCCTCGCGGGCTGCCCTTTTCTTCGTCTGCTTTGTTGATCGAGCCCTTTCAGCGAGAGCCGGCCGGAGCAAAGCATTTCGCCCCCGCGCGCGCGGCGGTATTTCTCCACTTTCCTCTCGCTCCTTTTTTCTTTTTTCTTTTTTTTTAATAATTGTTCTGGGATCTAAGCCAAAAGATTTACATACTTCTGACACATCACCCCGCTCTGACCCAGCGTTTCTCAAAGTTGTTTTTCATGCAATTAAAAAAATAAAAGCCATTTAGTCCTATTTATTTCTAAAGCATGTTTTTTCAGCATCACTGGTCTATGTTTAACTCTTCTTTAGACATATTTACAGATATAAATTTAATAAGTTCTACATTACATTGCTTTTTTAACAAGGATTTAGTAAAATAAAAAAAGCGCAACGCCATATTTAAAATATCCTATCAGTAAATTTAAAGAAATAAAAAAATAAATACAAATGATCTATATCCAATGTCAAATATTTTCATTTTTACCATATGATGCAAACAGTGAATGGACCTGCAGCGTAGCCACATACATAACATAAAATAACACAAGAGCTCGAAAACATATGAGCGCAAATGAGCTCAATTTCTGTCTGAAGGAAATTGTCATGTAGTGAAATGTCCTCCAGTTCACATCCACAGCCAGCACATCACAGAATAACAGGCCTAACACCCCCTGGAAAACACCTCAACTCAACTCAACAATGACTAAAACTTAATTATTTCCTAACGTCTAATAAGTCGATTTCCCCCAAGACACAAACAGCTGGACGATAACGTTACCTCATAAATATCTTCATACTTGACATTCTCAACTAGTTTCCACAGCATGGTCGCTTCTCCAGTGTCGGTAAACCGAATGCAGCCAAGTGAGAAAGGGATGTCTCAACTCTCTCTCTCTCCCCTTCCCTCTCTCTCTCTCTCCCTCTCTCTCTCTCGCTCTCTCTCTCTATCTCTCCGCCCTCTGTAAAGTCAGGCAGCAGGCTTTGTGAATGGGGAACCCCTGTAAAGCCTCCACTACTGTGAAGATAGGGCGGGTTGACAGCAGCAGCCATAAGCAAAAGGAGCAAATAAATAAATAATACAGGAAATACATTTTTTATTTATTCTGAGTCTCTACAGTTCCCAAAATAAAAGCACAATGATTTAACAAAAGACTTGATATTGTCCACAGATGAGCACCTCATGGCTGACAACTAATAAGATTTAAATGAAGTGAAAAATGAATGAAGGTAGATCATGAAACTATGACTTAGACTATATGGAATATGATGTGACATAATATTGATTTCTATATACAAATTGAAGCATCAACCAACATGAATTTCAATCTTTAAAGTTTTTTTTTTGAATAATCTTTTTCATTTTAGTTCCTATTTTCTTATATTTTCGCAATGCCGGACAGTCTGTTGTTGTCTTGATAAAGGATGGTGGGCTGTGTAAACACCTGGGAGAACAATGGACAGTCCAGGACTTTATCCTTTTATCCATGAGAAAGTCTGATATGTTGTATATTATAAATATATTAAAATGTTGTCAAACCTCAACAAAAAAAAGAAAAAAAAGAAAAAGAAAAATAATGTATTGGTCCACCATCAGCCTCCAGGAAATCTTCAGTGCTCCTTGGCATTGACTCCCCAAGTATTATTATTTCCACATTTGGTGTTTTGATGATGGTGGTGGAGAGCTCTGTCCAACACATTGGTCCAATTAATTTTCAGTTGGGTTGAGATCTGGTGCCCTGAGGGTTACTTTTCAACTCATAAAACCATTTTTTAAATCATAAAACCATTCAGTGACCCCTTGTTCGCTCTGTAAGTATCTGCATCGTCTTTCCACACAGGCATTTCCTTTAATATGTCACATGGTTGTATATTTGCTTATCAGATGGGTGCTCATATTTGCATTACATATATAAAAAAAACAAAAAACAGCTACTGCTACATTAATACATTGCAGGATTCACTGAAGTGCCTAAACCTTGACATATAACTGCCCTTATAGCAAAAAGGAGAGAGCAGGTAGCACCATCCTACAGATGTAAGATCAGTGATTGCATTTGATGAAAGGAGCTGGGATTAAAAACAGAGTTTCTTATCTGGAAGTTAGATTCTGGGCTAATTTATTTATTTATTATCCTGATTAACAGTGAAAAGCAGAATCGTGATGTTATATTACCCACATGCTGATTTGGCATTTGACTTATATGGAAATGGTTGTGTCTTCATATATATCTAAACAACACTGACACAGACACAAAACCAAAAAAAAGTAGTGGAATAATTACACATACATAATTCATAGTTATGATAGAAGTATGTGGGGGAACTTCATGCTGATCTGACGTGTCACTAGGCCTGTGTTATTACAAGTGGACTTTATATGTGCAGGGTGCATGTAAACACTGCTGCAATGTCAGCACAATACACTCTCACATGCTCGGCAGTGATATTGAATTCGACTTTGATGGCTCAGCGTTCAAATATTTTACGGTCACAATGCATCATATTGTAGCAGTGGGCCATATGGACAAAATATTGCAATAAGTATTCCAGCGTTATGGCAACATTAATATGTGATGGCTTTTATATAATATGTTTGAAACTTAACAATAAATTTAACAATAAATGTTTCTAATGTTTTATAAAAAAAAGAAAAAAAAAAGTTTTAAAGTTATTTTCTTGTAGCCATGACAACCGTTAACCATATCTCTTTAGCATTAGAAGAGTAGGTAGAGATGACAAAACAATGAGGACATGGCTTCATGAAAATAGTTTACTTTCCCTTTTAAAATGAGCTACTTGCATTCAGCAGATCTACAGTGTGTGAACAGCATGAGACAGACTGACATTCATTTTAAAATTTGAACAATTCCTTCTGGACGCACCTCTGTGATCTCTATCTTTTTTTTAAACAAGTAAAGCAGATAAATCAAATGAATCACTCCACATTCCCTTCATTTATCCCCCATGTTTAAACCTCTAACTACACTGGACTTGTTCCCTCTCTTCCATCTCTTATATGAAAAGCAACAGATTGGAGGACGCTGATTCAGCTTATTTGTTAAAAGTTATATTTAAATAAATCCAATTTAAATCTGTAATAACAGAAGACATGTATAATTGATAACTGTCATATTTCCCCAACCATCCCTTCCTTAATGCTCCTCTGTGGGGATGTGTCCAAGTGTGTGTAAACTGCGCCCCCTAGTGTTCTGAGACCATACATGCATCCATCAAAACTGTGAACGGAGTGAGACTAAATATTGTTATTGTGCCATATTGTCTATATTGCCTCCACTTGAGACCTCCGTGTTTAAATGGAGAATGTGGTGGGTTTTTAGTGGTTGTTGATATGATTGTTAGAAACTGACGACTACTCAAAATATGTCTGTGGGAGGAAATACATGTTTGTGTATGTGCATGGGCTTGAGTTAGAGGCTCTGCTCATATACCTGGCTTTAGGATCATTAAACATTGTCCTGATCGGCCGCAGTTCTGGTGTGGACTGACGGTCCGGGGGCCTGGACTGAGGGTGAAGCTCTCATGCTTTTATGTTGTCTGTAAATCTGCTCATACGCGGTTGTATCTCTGTGACATGGCTGCCATGGGTTTGCTCCTTTTGATGTTTGATGCAAAAAAAAAAAAAAAAAACTGCCACTGAGAATACCAGACATGAATGTTTAAGAGGCACGGCTGTTCCCAAGTTCTCTGGAATGACCCACTGCCAAAGATTCAACCATCTCTCTCTCTCTCTCTCTCTCACACACACACACACACACATACAGAGACACACACATGGCGAGGCATATGACTGTCAGCAATGACAGATGTCCTGACAGTCTGGAAGTCTGGAGGCAGGGTTGTGGTTGTTGTCCTGCAGGGCTTTGACACACGATGTATCAGCATACATTACACACATGTCACACTAATACTGCTCTATCTGCTCCCTGCCTTTTGTTTGCCACCGAGACGCGTTTTCATTTTCACTTTCCCCGGGATTTCAGTCAGGAAGAGGCGGTTTTCATCCTACTGCAAATCTCTAAAGATTCTTAAGTTTTACTCCTTTTATATTTTGTAAATAGTCAGTGTAATGAGACATCCTGAACATCTTGCTATAATGCCTCCATTCACATTCATGCGATGACACCCTTTCACACCCAGAATCTCCCCACTGCATCACACTTAAGGCCAATGTTGTTCAGGGAAAAGTAGCACAATAAGTGTGGTGAATAACACGAGACGTGAGGCGGAAAAACTGTGGAATAATCCTTTAATCATTTAGCTGTTTCCTTATGTGTGATGGGCCACAAGCGCAGACAAAAAGGAAAGGAAACAGACTCACCAGTACCAGTAAGACAGTGTGTGGCAGTATTATGAACTGTATTATCATAGCACCAATTAAATGGCTCAACAAAACCCTGAAATATTCTCCAGAGGGTCAAAAATCAGAATGGTTGTTGAATTTTGATCCTCAAAGTTTCTCAAAGGCTTGAAGAGAGGCTGCGATGGATCATTTAAACAGCATGTCTCCTGTGTTATACAGCACAGTACAGCTTCAAAATGTTTACGCAGCATTCTGGACTGACTTTTAAGCCCATGTGGCCTGGGCACACATGCATGCATGACACATTAATAATTCATAATTCATTCATTAATTCAACAAGTATTATTATTAATATAACACCTTAAGACTCTGTCTCCTTCTGTGTGTTTATCAGGACTTCCCCTTCAAACCCAGTCCAGTCCAAAAGGAAGGAAGTCTCATCCCTGGTCGTAACTGTGCAGACTCAGGCTGCAGTTCAGCTGTCCACCACTGGGCCGCACTAGAGCACCACAGAAAGAAGATGAAGGCCAAGTGAGGAGGGAACAACATGGAGACCCGAGTTCAGGTTGGATTTGACAAACTATCATCATGAAGCTTGAGCCTTTAAACGTGAGTAACGGAACCTGAGAATGCATGAAGGGAAATGTCAGCAGCAAATGTGTGTAAGAGCAAAATCACGGTAAGATTTCTATGTATATATTTAAAGGTTTTGAATTTAAAACAGACCTTTGTCACAGAGGACATTTGGATATGTCACAGTAGGAAAAACACAGGCCTAAATGAGAATGAATGGTTCAGTAATACACACAAGTAAATACCAATAAAAAAAAGTAGAATCAACAATCAACAAAAAACAGCAGTGTTTCCACGCTGGGAGGTTCACCAGTACGGTACGTGTGTTTGGTACAAATAATGTAAAAACTACTGATATCATCTCAATAATGATGAGGCCACATTAACTCCGGAGTGACTGTTAGATGTTTAAAGATGAAAGATAAAGCGACTAAATCCTAGCTTTGCATTCAGAACCAAAACAGTGAAGTGAGACCAATAAAGCCTGAGATAAAGGTTGTATTCATACGACCATGTCAACCAAACTCCGCCATGCTACGTTCATTAAATAAACTGTAGCTTCCGCATCCAGTTCCCCTCTCAGGATCTGATAATACAACTGGAAGCAGAATGATCATCACTAAATGAAGAACAGGGTGTTCCTGGCTTTTGCAGTAGCTCCTGTGGTGTGTGTGTGTGTGTGTGTGTGTGTGTGTGTGTGTGTGTGTGTGTGTGTGTGTGTGTGTGTGTGTGTGTGTGGGTTGACAGAGTGACAGGGACAGTTGGGATGGTGGCTGAGGAGAAAAGGCCTTGAATGTTCCTGGGAGTGAACAGGATCAGGACAGAGGAGGAAGAGGTTTTAGCAGAGAAGCCAAGGAGGAGGAGGTGGAGGAAGAGGAAGAGGAGGAGGAGGAGGAGGAGGAGGAGAGGGGTTATAGCTTCAGAGGAGAGCGACTGGAGAGATGGGGCTTAGAAGTTGGCAGAGTTTGGTATTCGTGACTGTGGGGCTCAGTCAGCAGGAGTTATAGTCCCACTGAGACCTCAGTCTGTTTAATTCACTTCTATATAAATGGCAGTAGTCATTGCGTGCATTTCTGGTTTGAAGACATTCATTTTTACTGTGTGTTCTGCATGTTAAACCTCACTCCCCATGTTTAAATATATGCACTGCACTGAAGTGATTCAGACAGATAATTGGATAAAAATCACCAAATAAACAATATTGCATGTGCTGAAGGCTGAGCAGAAGAATAGTGAAGTAGAAAATCTGCTCTGATGCTTAATGTGGTGATAACAGAGCGTTGCATTGTAATACGATCAATAGCCTGTGTGAATAATGCATCGGCCGCCCCATCACATTATGCGTTGCTGATGTCAAACTTGTGATTCATTCTTGTCCGTTTGTCAATTTTACAGCAACTCCGGCAGAGGCAATGTATTGATTTCATTTTCCAGCTCATTTTGATCAGGCTGCTTATTATTCTAATGCAGGGTCAGCAGGGACGCCTTTCGCAGGGATTACATGTTCATCACGCCAGTAATAAACAAAAGTGCGATTAAGTTACTTTCTCTGAGTGTATGTTCGCATGCGTGTTTCTGTGTGTTGTGCTCGTGCTCATTTGTTGCAGCTCATATACCCTCCAGTGAGATGCAGCAACCATCAAAGAGCCAATTTAGAAAGCTGCTTCGCTTCATACACATCACTCGGTTACATCTTCACACACACTGGTGGAGATACATGGGTTTGATTACACATCAGGCTGATTCCTCCATATGAATTAAGTTCCTCCCAAAGAGCTGACAGTAAAAAAAAAAAAAAAAGTGATTCAAACATGTCATTAAAAAAAAAAAGAAGAAAAAGAAAATCAAAAGATTAGGATCTGCCTATAAATATATTATGTCACTTAGCAGCTACCTTAAAAATGTGGGGAAATTATTTAAGTTTTTAAATTTTATTTTAAGTATGAACTCAACCATCCAAATAACCAAATGCTGCGTTCAAGTCACATTGGAATTTCTGTAACTGAGTAGATGACAAGTAAATCGACCATGAAGTGTTTCAGTGCACGCAGCAAGTCTGTCCAGGAATCTGCCAAACAAGTGATTGTATTGTATCTAGTGTACTCTATAAACTCCTTGTGTATAGTTTTAAAAGATCTTCTTTTTCAAACAATGAAAAGCAAATTTAAAAGAAAAAGTTCTTGTTTCTTCTGACAGAACCTGAATGTGGGAAAGAAACACAAAGTGGAAAAGGAAATGAGCCAGAGTGTGCATTATTTACAAATGAATATTATAAGCAAAACAGGGCTGTGACGGACAACATTCATGATGAAATAATAATTGGATTATGTTTTCAATCAACTGTTAAATCTATAAAACGGAAAACACATCTTCACCTTGTTTTGTTGTTTTTTCTTTTTCTGACCAACAGTCAAAAACCCAAAACAGATTGAATTTGCAGTGACATGAAGCAGCAGGTCGTCACATCTGAGAAGCTAGAACCAGTGAATGTTTGGTATTTTTGCTTTTTTAAATGACTCAAACAATTATCAAAATGGTTGACTCCTTTTCTATCCATAAACTCATCAATTAATCAACTAATTGTCTCAGCACTGAGGTGAAATACTGTGATCACCGCTCGATGGCAGGTGTGTAAACGTCGCTTGGTTGTGTTTTTAATCGAGTCGTTCTTAGTCGTTGCTTTGGTCCTTTGTTTTCTTCCTGTAGTGGTTGAAACACTGTTGTTTATGGTGCTGCTGTATTGTAGGTATCAGTCTTCAAAAAGCCACATCACTGAAGCCCCACAGTAAATGGTTGTAGACAGCATCGTGTTGCTGTTGTGCATCGTTGTAAAGGCTAAAAGAAAAATACCCGAGGGAAAACTGTATTTACTGTTTGTCGTCAGCGCGTTTTCTTGGACATTTCCCCCCTAATGCATTATCAATGGTTCAGCATTGTCCCCAGCATCATAAAACATTAACTGCATGTGTGTATATTCGGGGAGGGAGGGGTGGGGGTGGTGGTGGTGGTGGTTGTAACACCACCTGTCAAACACCAGCCCAAACAATAACAGCAACACTGGAATTCACTTGCTTCTTCCTTTACATCACTCTGTACTACTTTTCCCCACCTGAGGCTTCACCTGCATTAATTCAGTGCGAGACTGTAAATGCATCCTGTTTGATTGCGTACTTTTGTGTTATGCAGTGGACGTGACCTCCTTTTCAAATGACTGGAATATTACAGAGTAAACAGAACCTACAGAGCCCGGATGGAGACGCCAGCAGGCAGCTGCTCCTCTCTCTGTTTTATCATCACATATTTTTTTCATTTTTTTCATTTTTTTTTTTTGAAATATAAATAAGCAGAAAACCTGATAGAAGTCACTCAAACTGAAAGAAAACACACATGCTTGTGCACACAAAGGAGGTGTTTGAACTTTTCTGTAGGTAGAGCCTCCTCTCACAACATTAGAGAGGAACTCTGACTTCTTATAATTTTAACACTGTGAACTCGTATGGATAATTCACAGTTGCCGGCTTTGATCTGCGCTGCTTCTCTTTAGTCTCTCTTTGCTCTGTTGCCTCCTTCTCTGTGTATGTATGTTTATATATGCCGTGTGTGTGTGTGTGTGTGTGTGTGTGTGTGTGTGTGTGTGTGTGTGTGTGTGTGTGCAGCACATCTTCAAGCCAAGAGTAAATAGTAGAACACGTAGCAACTGTCTTTATTGAACACCAGCATTTTAGAAGGTAGGGATTTAACATATATATAGTTAAAGCCTACAAGAAAAAGTAATTTAAATATTTATATATATCTTTACAAATGTTCATGAGCGAGTCAGAGAGCTCGTGTCGGCTAAACTTGCGATCTGGGGAGTGTACAAAGATAGACATGCACAGGGAAGAGGAACGACGGCAACCGCAAAGTCACCTTTTACAAAATGGCTGAGTTGGACCCTTCTCTCTCTCTCTCTCTCTCTCTCTCTCTCTCTCTCTCTCCTCCCACACTGTCACTCTCTTTTCTCTCTCACACATCACACACACACACACACACACACAACGCAACAACACACAGTCACACACACACACACACACAGACCAAAGCGTATCCTACCCCAGGCGGTGGCGTCACACCAGTCTCACATCCAGAAACAGTCTCTTTTTCTCTGTCGTCCACATGGTAAACACACTGGTTGCTATGGCACTGATTGTAGAGCGTAGAAATAAAAAATAAAAATATGGTGTGGTTCAAGTGCTCTCAGAGGTACAGGTGGGTTTGCAAAAAAGACTGTGTGTGTGTGTTTGTGAGAGTATGTGTGTGTGTGCATGTGTCTGGGTTTGGGTTTTCTTTTTGTTAGGTAAACAATTTCAATTCAATTGACAGAATTCAAGCAAAACTGGAACTTTTGTAGTTAGTATGAGAGATTTTTCAAAATAATTTAATACAAAACAGATAAAATGAAGCTTCAGAGGATAAAAAAATGTTTCAGCTTTTGTATTTCTGCAGAAAATCCAAACCTGAATCAAATTCATTCACATCAAATTACCCAAAAACCCCTTAATGTGTGTGTGTGTGTGTGTGTGTGTGTATAATGTGTGTTATGTTATATTGGCAGTTAACCACCCCTGTCCTGGAGAACTTTGATGTCAGCACGTCCATGTTTACTTCCTGTTTTCAAAATTAATAAATAAAGAAATAAAAGTCTTGGATGAGTCACAGCCGTCTCCATGGCGAGGCTCCTCCTTGTCATGAAACACACACACACACACACATTAACACACACACACTCCCACATCAGGGTGTCTTGTTTGGGACACTTCAGGTTAGTGTTACGTTTCAACTGAAGATAAATAAATAACAATAAATATGAAATGTCCCAATATAGACGCAGTGATGCGTGGGAATTGACAAATCCTGTCTGAGTACACACACACACACACACACACTCTCCTAAATGCAGCGCTCCAAGGCACGGGGACCGGGTGGGTGGGGGCTACTCAGTCTTTTCTGTTTTCCCGTCTTTGCTCTGGGGCTCGGCTGTTTTCCGGAGCTGCGTCTTTTCCGAGCTGTTGTTGATCTGTTGGTCGGTGGGCCCGCTCGTTTTCCCGCTCGAGTTTTTGTCCAGGTAGTTGAGCATCTCGCTCAGGACCGTCTGGAAGGTGCTGAGAGCCGCGCAGACCGCCGGCGTGCCGAACCCATGAGTGATCAGACTGTCGGGAGAAACAGAAACAATCATCAGAACAGCGACAAACCAAAAGCTTTGTTCCGTCAGTGGTTCACTTGAGGGTGATGCAGGTTTCCTTTTCTTCACCTCAGTCTGTACACTGCAGTGAAACCTGCCTCTCCCTTCTAATCCTCCTAAAAGAGTTTCTTTAGTCAGACTAACCCCTGTCAGAGAGTTTTAAATGTCCTGATGGTCTAAATGCTGTTTCCAGAGGAAACACTCAGGTTTTAGTAAATTCCAGGCCTGAATATTGTCACATTTGAACAAATGACTTACAGATCGGAGCTAAAACGATCACTCAAATTAATCAATAGATATAAAAGCCATTTTTCAATCAAACATGTCAAATATTCCCATCATCTCTACACTCTCAACTGTGAGGATTTGCTGCTTCTCTTTGTCTAATGTGATAGTAAAGTGAATATTTTTATTTTGTGGATTGTTGTCAGGGGAAATGATTTGATTTGATTTGATGATGTCACCAAAGGCTTTAAGAAAATCATATGGACATTTTTCACCATTTTCTGACCTTTTTTAGTCTAAATCATTAATGATCATCAACGAGAATAATGTTTAGTTGCAGCCCTGGAACAGACAGTGTCCTACTTTAAAACATACAGCAGCTGTGTGGGTCGGTCAACAGCCACAATCAGCCATGTCTTTATGTCGTTCCTAAAAGCTCACCCAAACCCTCTTTACCACAGCGCTCTTAACTCTTAACTGTGATTCTCAAACAAAGTTCACTGTCCAATCAAATTAAAGCGCACACACTAGTAATAATATGAAGCAATACAAGGCTGCAGAATAAAAATAGATGTAAGATAAAAAAAAGGAATGGCCATAAAATAGATCCTCTATAAGATCCTCAGGCAGGTTCTCACGGGGCCTAAATACCCGGTCACCTTTCAAACCAGGCTGTTAAACTGCCAGAGGGACGCTGTTGTTCAATCTGTCATATCCCCGTTGATGCATCCGAGCTCGTGTCTCGTTTCTCGGCCCGGCGCTCGACATACAGAACATTTCCCTTTGGAGGTTTGATAAAAACTCTGTATATTCTGGAATGGATGACGCCATAGATGTGACATTTCTGCTAACAAGCCGCTGTTCCCTCCTCCTCCTCCTCCTCCTCCTCCTCCTCCTCTGTCGCTTGTGCCAAACAACAAACTGCACAGCTGCATCTTTCGCAAAATGGCAAAGAGGTCAGAGCCAAAACGGAGCAGGAGAGCTGTCTCGCCTCAGTGGCTTTAATCGTACCGAGCCAGAGTCTAAGATTTGCATGATTGTCCATGATTTGTTACATGCAGCAAATGTGTGTGTTACCTGAAGTGTGTGAGGTGTCTTTGGATGTCCAAGTCCAGGATGGGGGTCGGTCTGGAGGAGCCCAAAGGAGAGCGATCTTGGCTCAATAAGTCCTGGAACTCCTTACAGATTTGCCTGACAGACAGAAGGAGGGAGGGACTGAGGGTTTACCATCTGTCTCCAACACAACCGTTGCAATTTGTCTTTCATTCTTTTCTTTTTTTTTTTTCCTGCACCCATCCTCATCGTTTTCAATCACCCCCCCACCCCACACATACATTCAAGTTACTTCGTCTTAGCGGACAAATGAAAGTTCAACGTCAGAGCAAAAAGAAGCAAAACATTTTCACATGATACCAAACATTCTGCAGATGCAAAGTCAGGCTGTCTTTTTGGATTTCACTCACTTTTGAAAATCATTGTTAGGATGACTTTATTAGGGAAAAAAAATCTGCTCAGCTGGAAAAGAGTGGGAGCAGTTTCCCCTCAGCACCATCAGTACTCAGTGTGCAGCAGTGCTTGTAGGAATGTAATATAAATATAGCTCTTACTGATAAATAAATACGAGCCCTGTAATGTGGAATATCTTAAAATTTAAAACGCAATACATGCTTTATGCATGAAAAGTGCGTTTGTGCATTTGAATTTGAGTGTGAACGTGTCCCTATAGTCACAACACAAACTTTTTATAATTCTGTGAGAAGGTTACAAACCGCTCCTTAACATTAATTTGCTTGACTCAGTTTCCTCGCTGCAAAACATGTTGGTCCGGGCACTTTTGATCAGAGATTTACCTCAGGACGGACGGTTAGTGGTGTGCTCGTTCATTTGCAGCTATGAAGTGACAAATAAATTGGCTTCAAAATGCTCTAGGCCCCTGCTGAACATCTGGAACTGATCCTGACTGTCACCTTAATGTATCAACTTGTATCCAAACACTAACTTGAACTAGAAGTTGTGACCTGAAGACTCCATCAATGCCAAGAAAGGAAAACAATGACATTGGGAAAATTTCAGAATAAAACATACTGCATCTTGCCGAGAACAGTTGATGCCTCCCTTACTATTTTATTCATGTGTATGGTGTATCTGTGCGTGCACATCACCGTGTGTGTGTGTGTGTGTGTGTGTGTTTCTGTTCTTACTTTGTAGCCAGAACCATTTTCTTGCGTGCGCTGGTTTCTTTCGGCTCACTGTGCTGCCTCGCCAAATGCTCCCCCACCGCCTTGCTGGGAAACTCTGTCTCACAGGTGTAGCCAAAGTCCCTCGCCAGGTGGAGCGCCTCACCTGAACACAAACGAAAAAAAAAAAAAAAAGATGGATGAAACAAACGCCGGAAAGGATTCGATATAAAAAAAAAAAACTAGTATATGAAACTATAACTAAAACATTTTGGAAAGTCTTTTGGACCCGCACCTTCCACCAGGGAGGTGAGCAGTGTGACGTTGGCAGCTTTCCTCCGTCCTGCCGGCAGGTTGAGGCCTAGACGGTCTAATTTCTCTCGAAGACACCGGCCTCCGTTCTTAGACTTCGCTCTGTGGGAAAAGAAATAACTTTACATCATCAAACAACAATTTTTTTTTTTTAATATAAAACCCAAAAAAATAACAGAATATCTGGATCACACATCATCATCACTGTACATAGTGATGAGCTTGAGCCATAGTACAAATCAAATCATCTGGCGTCCTTGTTCTACAAAGACATGCGTGTTTAATCAAGTTAGGGAGGAATATAGACAAAGCCATGAAATTAATCATATAATCAAAGAGTATAAAATTAAAACATGTCAACTCATTATGTATTAAATATGCTTCCTGGTCACTAGTTCCCACGAGTTCCCTCTTTTTTTATTGTTTGAGCGTTTATTTATGTCTTTCTATACCCAGAGTGAGAGGTTCTATTTTGGAAAACAGAGGAACAACGGCCCCTGTCATTTCTGATTTAATCTTAAAACGTATGTGCAAACTTCTCATCACATAAAACTTTAAAGATCCTTCTGGGATATTCTGGTTGAAATTACTGATGGTTTTCTATCATTCTGGAAAAAAACAAACAAACAAACAAAAAAAAAAAAAACGCAACAAAAAAAAAGTTTGACTTTGGCAAATGACACAAATCCAACAGTAATGTGAAACCACGACTAAAGTCTTCAGCTCCTCCAAACATTTCTGTGACGTGGACGTGATTTATTTCACTCCAGACGAGCATCATCACCTCTATTTACACTTTTTTATTTTATTCTATTTTTTTTTTTAAACTTTGTTGATGCCTCATCTTGTAGGACGAGCCATACCCTATCTCTGCAACCCCCCCCCCCCATCCCTTCTTTTTCTCTCCACCTCATCAATAATACAGCGCTGGCAACTCTTGCCTTCCTCTGGTTCCTCTGATCCTGGCATGCTTTGGCCTGGTCTCGCCTCCCTCTGGCTCCCTGGGCATGGCGGCGCGTGCAGCCCCGGCCCCCTCGTTCGCCTACAATAGTCTTTGTGGACGCTACTGTATATCCTCTGTTTCATCTGAGGGCTGCAAAGACTCAGGCAGCCGCTCTCCGATGTTCACCAGCCAGATTTACGCTTGGAGACCTGCGTTTTCACTTTTAAAACCCCCCTCTGTCACACTCGCCTCTTACTTCACTATTATTTTGTTAGTTTGGGAATATTTTGAGAGTCTCTTATAGTCCAATAGAACCTCTCTCAGTCTTTTAATGTTAGATTTTTTTTAAAAACACTACCAGATTGACTCTTTACTGTCACAGTTTTAAAAACCACACAATGCTTTTTAGTTTGACTTGTCTTTAAGTCATCAAATCAGATGCATTAAAGACGCTGGGATCACCCTTGTTTTTCCTGGGTGTACAGTACCATGTCTGCCCTGTGTGTGTGTGTGTGTGTGTGTGCATGCTGACCTGCGCAATATGCCGCCCAGTAAGGAGGCGTTGAGGCACTCTGGCGGGGACAGTCTTCTTTTCACCTCGGCGATGGTCACTTTGTACTTGGAGGTGGAGCTGAGCAGCGACAGGCGGCCCGGTACCGAGCAGAACAGATCTGTAGGATTCACCACACATGTCCCCCCTGCGCACAAACAACAACAACACCTGCTACAGCGAGTCTCAGCATCCACAAACGTTCCACATCCACAAATGTTGAGGCGTTACAGGAATAGTTGAAGCACTGGATGAGGTTTTATGGCCTCATTACAAATTACAAGTACAGGGAGTTTAGCTGTACCAGCTCCATGTTAGCTTTGTGTAAGACAACTACAACTAAACTTATAAAGTGACCATGGCTGCATTATCAAAGTGTCAGAGATGGGAGTGTAAATAACTACTTCAGGTGGCTTTGAGGAAGCTGTGCTAGATAACTGACTGTGTGGGAAGATGGTGGACAGACTTAGCCTATATCTTGAACGCTGCTCTGTGTATTAATTTTGACAAAGCTGAAATGATAAAGCACAACGGTGGAACTGAATAAACTTTCACCGCTGCAAAATGTTAACCAAAGAGCCGTGGGCCAGTCCAGCAGATTTCCAACCTACTTTAGCCTGATAAATGCTTTTTTATATATTCTTTATTAATGTTTTGGTGCTACATGAAGCGCCATGTGTCTGAATAGTCCTGCAGGGGTTCAGGTTGATAATAGTTTGTTTTAGCAGTGCAGACTTTTGACCAACTTTTGTGTTATTTCAGGAGAGTTCCTCTGTAGACACACACTGGAATATGTCAGGCAGGTTTATCATCTGGGATTTTTATAAATATTTAGATGTGTTATGCCAATAACGCCTCTCTGCTTATTAAGAATTAAAAGTATATTAGAATTAAAAAAATAAAAACCCAAACTTCTGTCAGTGCTTGTACACTGCTCTGGCCTTCACATGTTTATACAATACACAGCCATTAACATCAGTTATAGCCTGAAGATTTAAAGATGTGCTTTCACATTTGATTAGAAACTGATCAATAATCTATCAACAAAACAAGGATCTTCTCAAGTTCTATACAGATGCCAACAGAAATATCTCTCAACATACTACTACTACTATACTATGTAATAACAACAACAAACACTGCACTTAGTAGACCACACACACCAGGAACTGACCATGTGCAGTAAGTTACATACACATCTGTGCAACATACTTCATAGGCTGCTTTTTTTTTGTAAATATGGGGTTTAACATATTATATTATTATCTATTATTCATCTTTCTAAGTTTTTGTTACTGACATTTTGCAGGGTTTTTTTTCCATTTCCATAATAATATTAATAATAATAACAATAATACAATTTATTCTATCAAAGAGCTGGATAAGTAAAAATGTAAATTCCCTCTCAAAAGAAAACAAAGTGTAAAAATGACTGCACTGAAAAGTGTTATGGGGTCTGTAGTTCGATGGGTACCTCATTTTGCAGTGACTGCTGCCGCAGGTGATGAGAGGCTGCTGTATTTTTTATTACAAGGGCTGCAGGAGCTCCTTTTCTTTACTTGTAGCGCAGGCACTTTGAGGTCTTTAGTGGATGTTTCGAATAAAAATCCACTTAGACCTCGAAAAGCCTTGAGTCGCAGAAAATACATTAAAGTATAACCGTGTCCTCGACCTTAACCCCGTACCTGTCGGAGCTGTGGAGCTGTGGCTCAGCATTGTTCAGTCTGGAACATGTACTTTTTGTACAAAACATGCTAATTTGTTGTTACATGGAGAAGTTCCAGTGAATGAACCCTCAGTGAATCCTGCCTCAGGGGCAGGTGTGCAGATGCTGAGGCTGTTTTGCACCTCTGTTCTTAGAGGGTGGCTTTAGCATGAGGTCTCCCTGCTTCTTATTTAAAACAATAGCACATATCAGGGCAGGATACAAGGAATACAAATCAACTGTGTGTCTGTGAGCAGAGCAAACAGGAAGTCTCTTGCAGTAACCAAATTCAAAAACTTTACTGAAGCTTTTCCACATGTTATAAAAGATGATTAATCTGAATTGATGTGTTTTCATATTAACCGCCTTTTATATCGTCATGAACTGTAGTTTAATCCGCATTTCTGTTTACACTGCCTCAAAAATCCCCTCCAAACTTAACACAAATTAAAAATGCAGCCTATGAAAACCACGTATCTCTAGCTATGAGCTAATAAAACAGCCCTGTGTTCAGCTTGGTGACAAAACATTTTTTAACATAAAACTATGGGTTTTTTAATGGTTTATTCATTTTAGTAGCAGGAGAATTTTCTTAGTCCATCAGCTGGTTTATCTGGAATAAAAGTTTACATTAACAAAACTGGAGATGCATGGTTTTCACTGAACAGTGATCTCCAGCTTGTACTACACTCTCCACTGTATAGCTGTAAACAAAATATGTTTGAATATTGTTTGAATCCTAAATCAATCCAGAAATGATTGTGATAGCAGCTCAGTGCAAACTCAGCCCATAAAAATACATATGATCAAGTATCATTAATCCTCACTGGCATGATCAATGCTTTTCTTCTCAGCGCTTCATCAGACTCCTTTTAGGCTACTTAAATATTCCATTTAGTTTTTTTTTCTTCTATGTACATATATTTATATTTCAGTTTCAGCTCAATATTTGTCTGTATGTACGAACTGTCTGCTCTAACCCCAGGAGGCCAAAACAAAAACCTTCCTTTAATCACCTTCCACCAAGTTGATTTCATTGTGTACTTGAGGTTCCTGAGTGTGTGAATAAATGATTGTGGTTGTGATAGTGAAGGCTCTTTCACATTATTAATTGCATCTGAATCAGTCTAGCTGGATCCTCCTGGAATATATCGACTGCTCTGAGTAGGCCTATTATTATTAAACTTTCACTTGAACTAACGTCTCAAGCAGCTGAAACGCAAGGTTTTCTGTCTGATGTACTGTAGGCTATATTCTATTATTCATCTGCCTCATTATCAAATCTAACAGCAGGGTGTGTCGCTTTGTTATTAGGCCGCGCTGGATATGATGGAATGAAGAAAAAGGGATGCCATTTAGGCCAAATACAGCAACGCTGCAGGCGAATTTTGCGCTCATCTTTTCGTGGCATTTTGGACAATTTGGCCACCAGCTAAGCCTCATATTTAATCTGTATTTTTTTTAATTTTTTTTCTCTGAGAAGCTTTTGTTAAAAAAAACGGAAAATGTGCTAGATTGGCGCCATTTTTCTGGCCGCAGGGAGGCAGTAAGACCTGTAGCTTCAGAAACATGTCACCCAGACTCAGCACCATGGACAGCGGCTCGTGTCCACAGCACACCTGTGACATCACGACGGTGTGGAAACAAAAGCGTGTTGTAGTCCAGCGGACAGCACTTTTGTACAAGGCAGTATGGGACTTGTATTTCACTCAGGCTGTCAAAAATGGGCGACTTCAAGTCGAGGGAATCGATTGATAGGACTACTATTGGTTTGGCTCCTGTGTGTGTGTGTGTGTGTGTGTGTGTGTGTGTGTGTGTGTGTGTATATGCGCGCGCGTGTGTGGCGTGCGCGTGTGAAGTCCGTGTCTACATGTGACACAAACCGGGCAGACCTGTCTGTCAGACTCACGCGCTCTGACAGGGGCGCGCGTCTCTGAAAGCCGCGGGTTCACATCATATTAATTCCCCTAAAAATGTTTTGATTCAAAGTAGTTTGTATTTTATGTTGCCAAGGGCAATCGAAAAGAGCTATTGCCGGTAGTGCAGTCAGTGGAGCGCGCGGGCCCAGAGGCGATAACGGTATTTAAGCAACGGAGAGTAGCCTCGGGCTGCGGCGCGAGCGGCGGGCGGGATCACACGCGGAATCAAGCGCCTTTTACGAGTTTGCCACGAAAATTAAAGAAAAAGAGACACGGGCCAAATGTCATTCTCCTCATATTTTAACAACAATGTTTATAGCTCTAGAAAAAAAAGCCCGCCAATGTCTTGACAGAAAAGAGAGAGAGAGAGAGAGAGAGAGACAGAGAGAGAGGCGCGTGCACGGGCTGTAGTGGCGGGGGCGCGCGTCTGACAGATCAGCTTGATCTGTGAGGCTGCTGCTGGAGCTGAACTGGAAAAGGGATAGCAGGGTGATTAAAAACACAGACGACTCCTCCTAAGTAGGATCCGCGTTTCTTGAGTGATTTTCTTTTGAAAAAGGTTATGTGAATATTCATGCCGCCAAAGCCGCAGTCAGAAAGAACAACATTAATATGATCTCGGCTGAATCCGGGGCCCCGCTCGGCATTAGCATATCAAAGCGTCCGCCCGAGGCGAGAGAAGCTATCGATACGGGAGCGGGAGGTAAAGCAAAGATTATTGGTTGTGATGGTTGCAGCGGCTGAGCTCAGGGCCAAATATGGCGCACCATTAACCGAAAGTGATAGCGAAGGGATTCCCGCGTCAATCCGAGAGAAAAGCCCCAACACCTAGGCAGAGCTGATGAAAAATTAAACCCGAGACACAGCCTTCCTCTCTGTGTGGAAAACTACACATAGTCCCGACTAAGAAAAAAAAAAAAAAAACAGGAGCAGGCTTTGATGGAGCAAAAGCAGATGCACAGCGTGTTTAAACCCACTCGCGAGGAAATAGGCTGGTCTGCTGTGTGCTGCTGCAGACCGAGTCCACATCCTCATCCTCACCTGAAGAGTCGACCTGAGCCCTTCAACACCAGGGTTCACGCTGCTGCTGGCTCTTATTAAACATACAAGTAACAATAATACTGAGATATGGTTGAGCCTACATTACAGCCCACAAATAAATAGCCTTGATAAAAGAAAAAAAAAATAAAGGAATAGAATTTGCCCAGAAGCAATCAAATGTCTGGTAAATACTGAGAACTGCTAAATAAAAATTATATTTAAATTTTTATTGGCTTTTTTTAGTTAGCTATTCTTTAATATAGCCTTAACTCCTTTTTTTAATTATAGCCTATACCATATTAATCTTACTTTATAAAAAAAACATAATGTATTTCGTCAACAGAGCTATAATTTAATGATAGTCCTTTTTTGACATAAATTATTTTACAGTTTGCTATTTGTTTATAGGCAGCTAAAATATAATTAACTGGTCTACACGCCTACAGTTTAATCGTAGGCTTATACCCGTGTTTTCATAGGCCTATTTAAATTTCATTACAGAAGAGATGATATCACCAGCAGTGTTTGAGGATTATAACCATTTTATGATCTCAAAATAAACATTAATATTACATTATAGTAGTCTGTTTGTTTTGTGGAAGCCGTCAGTCTGCACTGTTAAAATGTCGCCTACAGGTTTGACTTCAAAAAGGAAGCGTGTTGTAATGTAATGTAATGACTGCTGTGTGACACATTACAGCTGGGTGTATACATTTCACTACTAGGTCATGTTGGCTGCACTATAGTGTGTAGCATATATATTAAATCAATGCCGAATTAATTCCTGACATTGCTGACACTTTATTTAATTTAAACTCAGAGACAAGTTGACTGCTGGGTGTTTGAGTGACGGGGAGCAGCGTCTCTGCGCTTGTTCAACAGTGTGTTAGTGTTTAAACAGGCGAGAGCACGCGGAGCCCGCTCCGGCTGTAACATGTTGACAGCAGACAAGAGAGGAGTGTTCCGCCTGTTTTGTCTGTCTGCTCTCTGTCTTGTCGCGTCGAAGCCGTGGAGTGTGCGCGGCCTCAGGTATATAGCTACTGTAGCTACACTAGCAGAGAGTATTTGAACGGGGCCTTACCTCTCCGGATGACGCCCCCTTGTCCGTTCAGCACGAGCCCACACTGCGCTTCCACGGAGCCCTGCGGAGACACGCACTCATTAGGAACGAGCAGGGAGGTGAAATCACTTCACCCACATTTTTTACACTGCTGAGGCGCAGTTTAGCCAGCTGTCAGGCTGCAGGTACAGCACACAATAAGAACTGCTTCTTCCCTATGTGGGAGCTGTGGTGCTTTATGGTCAGTGAATGCAGCACACACAGAAAACCCATAAGCTGCACATAAATCAAACTAAAACCTAAATTTACTAGGGTGTACCAGAATAAAGAGAACAATAACATTTAGTAAGAATAATAATAATAATAGCATTGTAGCTGATCTAAAGGCCTTTCTAAATGTTTCAGACCATAACATTATAAAACTCAAGAAAATATAACAGAAAAGTCAGTTTTTTAATCTTTCCTATCACAACAATCGTCTCATGACCCCTAAGATTTAGCTAGGCCTATAGGCTTCCTTGTGAACCCTTTGGTTGGAAACCACTACTTACACATCCTTTATGTGTCTGTGCAGCACTGTAAAGTTTGGCAGTGAGAGTGTAAAAAAAAAAAGTGCACCTATAGAGTCCAAAAAAACACACACAAAAAAACTGGCCCTGTTGCGCGCCCTTTGAACAGTTTTCTAGTGGTGGAAGCCTTTTTGTTAGAAAGTGTACATCACTTAGCAGGCTTTGAGTAAAACTGAGGGCACAGTAGTATAAAGGATGCAGCTCACGGCTCACCCAGAAACGAGCTTAATTTGAAAGGCTTCGGGCTATAAAGCGAGGACAGCACAACTCACCCAGACTCAGAAATGAGCTGAAGTGTCCAGAATTACTTGCAGCCACCAACCTGTTGGCGGGTTAGCTATATAGCCTACTCTATGGGCTGCACACCACAAGCACACTGCGATAGCCTCTATAGGCTAAATATATATGGAAACCTGTTACCGCCGCCATTTTGCTCCAGATCACACTCGCGTGCTATCAACAATGTCATCAAGAAAGGAGAACACGCGCCTTTTTATTCAGAAAACACTTAATCCCTCGTGCGAGCCTCCAGGCCTGGTCCACACCAGAAGCCCCCCTCCCCTGATTAAAATAAACTGGGAGAAAAAAGGAGCTTGTTGCAGCTTTCTTAACCAGCTCCTGCCTCTGTTTCTTTTCTTCTATTCCGAAGCTAAAGTGATTATAAAATCAATATACAAAACGCAGAGGTCTTGCATGAATTAGCTTAGTGACGGGAGAAAGGTGTGGCAGCTGCTTTTGTTCAGCATGAAAATCTCTTTAGCGCGCTCAAAGATGCGACCGGGCTGCACGAGACCATAGGCGCATCTGTTCCCGTTCATGCATCCGCCGCGTGCAAGCTCAGGTTCACGGGCCGTTTCTTTCTTCGGCTCAATAGAGGGTCAAACCTGCGCCGATTCAATGTCCCGACAGCTTAAAATAATATTTGCTATAGCAACGAGCAGCTATGAGCCTATGTGGTTTGAAAAATAAAATAAATTAAAATGAAATAAACCGGCTGTTAGTTTTAGTAAAATAAATGACATATTTTTGGTATCAAGGAATTCAAATAGCCTAATCAAATTATTCAAAAATAAAACAGTGAGGACATACAGAACAATAAAAATATAACAATAATAATAATATACATGCAGGTACACCAATAATTCCCTAAACTTGATGCTATATTTAGGGACAATTCACTATATTTATTCTAATACACATCATCATCCTGAAGCAAAACTGCCACACCCTTTAAATAAAAGTAAAATAAATTCAAGTAAATTGGCCTGTTGTTTTTTTTTTGTTTTTTTTTTTAAACATCTCATTACTCTTCGGATTTATCGTCGTTAGAATAATAAAAAAAAACTATTTTATCATTGTTGCTATTTAGTGAAAATGTCATTGTTTGTCCATCTATGTAGCGTAATGACATTAAAAAAATGTCCATAAAAGCGAAGTGGAGTTGGTAAATAGTTAACGTGACTGAAATGATGTGTCACTGTGTTAAATTGTGTTTAACTCGAGACGTGTTTTAACCAGCTCAGATGTCGCTGCATAAGCAACAAAGTTGATTGACGTTAAGTCGGTAATTGGATAAACTACGGTGCTTTATGGTGCTCGAGCTGGGCATTGTGCCCTGAACCCCGATCCGTTAATCCGCCCTTTACCGGAGAATAGAGCAACCAGCGGCTTTTCTTTGCTTCAACAGACAGCCGGACACACACACTCAAACACACATACACACACGCTCAAGCACCGTGCGAATCCGTTTTCATCTCGACCATTTCTTTACATCGAAAAGAATTATGCAAAATATGGGTCACGTGCGCGCTTGGAAAAATAAAGGGCGGCTTTCACAATGGGATTGTATAGACTGCCAGTCAATTAACCTTTAGAACAGGCCTGCCTCTCAGAGCCACGGTGCCGGGTGGACTTGACATTTACTCAGTCTGTTGTACAGTCACGTTTGGTTTGGCAACAAAATGATCTCAAGATGATGATATCCAATATTATTTACTCCGGAGTAGGACACAGTCGTGTGCTGGAGATAACCTACAGGCCGAATGTAGATGCAGCCATGTCAGTGTCACAGACAACAGACATCTGGCGCTGTCTTTCTGTTCAATATTTTGGAATCGCTGTGTGTGTGTACGAAAGGGGGGGGGGGGAGAGTTTTTCAATAGTAGGCCAGTGGGGCAGGGGTACTGGGGCACTGGGGCTCTGACAGCTATAAGGGTCTGTTATCCTGTCCTGTCTTATCTTATGTCTGATCTTATGTTACTGTTAATAAACCAGAGGAGAGCAGCCGGAGGAAATGGAAAGGGGAGACAATAAGGTGCTGGATCTCAGGCGTTGAGGTGAAGGGAGACTGTGTGTGAGCGGGGAAAGAGACACGTAGGCCGCCGGTACCTGCAGGTCGTCTGCCGCGGGCGGAGGGAGGCCCAGGCCGGCGGCGGGCAGCAGCCTCTGGTCCGGGTGGTGCATACCGACGCCGTAGGCCTGGGAGCCGTGTGACGTCATCAGCGACAGGTCATGGCGCCGGTAAGCGTCGAGGCAGCCCAGCTCGCGCCGCTGCTGCTCGTCCAGGCACGAGGACTTGAGGGCCGAGCGCGCGTTGTGCAGGTTGATGAAGTCGGCGGGCTCTCCGTGGTGGATCTGCTGGTAGTACTGGCCCGAGTGCAGCGAGTTCAGCCCGTAGGCCTCCGGGGCCACGGCTGGGTGGGAGTGCTGGAACTCGTAGTGGAAGGACTGGTGGTGGAGGGGCGTGTACTGGTGGTTGGCCGAGAAGTAGGGCGAGGCGAACTCCGTCCCCGCCGGCGCTGGGTAGGTGAGCGGGGAGGAGGAGGAGTATGCGACCGAGGAGTTGGCCACGGACTCCAGGCAACCGAGCTGCATGAGCCGGTAGCTGTTTGATCCGTCGTGACGTATCTACAAGATAATAAAGAGACGGTGAAATATATGAGCCGTGTCATTTAGCATCAGCCGGTGTCTCCTCTCTCTGCCTCCCAAACACACTCAAAAACACAACTCACACACTCAAAGCGTTTTTTTTTCCCACTTTAAACCACCTGAAGGAGATGTCATTTCCACACGCCCGGGAGGGGAACGGCAACAGGAGCCATCGGTATTTTTTTTCCCTCCCTTTGGCATGCCTGTCACTCTGCTTGCAGCGCTTTAAAAGGCGTGCTGTTATATATTATTATTATTACCGAGCTGCCGGCAAATTTACTGTCCCAGCTCTCTCGCTCACACTGGATGGGGAGGTAAGCAGAGTGAGACACAGCGGAGTGTTCCGCCCTAAAATGTTCTAATCACACTGTTACCGGCTCACACACGAGCCTCATTTGCTTCCACACACTAATAAAAAGCCCCTTTTTTACCGGCAGCTCCAGTGAGATGCTCGAATCTTTTCTCCCTCCATGCATATATATATATAGCCTGTATATATTTATATTTTTAAATCCATGCGATGCAGTATATTGCAGTGAGAGACTTCTTGAGAGCAGACCTCGAAATGCGTCCGTATCTCAGTTTAAAGCAAAGAATATTTCTTCCAGCACACTCCTTCTATAATTTCATAAATTCAAGGATGTTAAGTGAATAAATTCGCCTACCTCTGCGTCGTGGACAAGTCCGGGGAAGGTCGCTGACATTGTGCTTTCTCCAAAGTAACCCGTGTTTTTTTTCTCTCCTCTCTGGCCTGATCGAATAATAATAAAAATGCGTTAAAATCCCCAAAAAGCGAGAGAAATGGAAAAGTCCCCCCTCGCGCGCTCTCGGTAACGGCAGAAAGCTGGCGGAACGCGAGCGTCTCCCCTCTGCACGGACGGGGCTGGCTCACGGATTTTGTACTTGCAGGGTATTTCTCGGCTGATGTCGTAGGTCCCTTGGTAATATAGAAGTTTTGAAAATTAAGCATCAGCACTGAGGAATGGGAGGACAATAGACGGAGCGGAGCATCCCAGGAGACAAGGAATAAATATTGTATCTTCGCCTTAATAAGGAACCAAGAGCTTCTTTCAACATTTTCTACGCTTTTTTGTGGACATTTTCCTTTTTGAGCCGTTTGTATTTTCACAAGCTTCTTCTGCTCCGTTTCGTCGTATTATTATTTTTAGCTTTATTCACACCGGCTAAAGTCGTTTTTCAAAAATGTTCGGATTTTCAACGGAAATGTAAGTTTGCTTTGAAATATTCTACAGCTAATTTCGATAATTATCAGCAGAATAACTATAATAAAAAAAAGGATTTTCTTTTGTTTCCAGAACAAAGATTGTGATCAGTTCAGTCAGCTTCGATGAGGATTTTCTTTTGGAATGGGGATCATTTCGAAGCTGTGTTCATGCATTTAGCTGAATTTTCATTATTGCTGTTTTAGGCACTTTTAACAGTGGGGTAAACGTGGCGATTTCACAATGAAACAATCACACATGTTTACATATTTTTCAGTGCACGTTCATTCGATGTAATAACAGCGAGATGGATGAAAATATTATCATTATGAATTAAAATGGCTACATTTAAAAATATTTTTCAGTAATGTTTATTATTAAGATTTTCAATGTTTGCTTTGTATGTGCAATTGTGCTAAATTAAATTAAATCGATAATTCTAACCTTATAGGCTATTTTTTATTTTTTTTAAATTATTTTTATGCCTGGAAAACAGCGTTTTTTAATTTTGTTTTCATAGGGGGAGGGGGGATGGAGGGGTTCAGGCTACTATGAGTGTTGCCTTTGTGAAAAACGGCATTGTATATGTGCATGGTTGGATGGAATAATTGATTATGTATTGTGTTATTATTATTATTATGCTATTATTTTTTTTATTATTATCATTATTATTATTATTTTTATTATTACTATTATTGGCATATGAGAACTGGGACTTTTTTCGGTCAGTCGGTCAGCCTTGTGACCCCTCTCTCTCTTCCTCTCTCTCTCTCTCTCTCTCTCTCTCTCTCTCTCTCTCTCTCTCTTTTTCTGTCTTTCTCTTGGTGCTGTAACTCACCTGAGCACGCGCCCTCGGGGTGGTCCTGCCCAGCTGAACGGGCGCCGTTGTGGCGTGGTAAAGATGTTGAGGAGGGGTTTTTTTTGTTTACATTTTTTTGTAGCCTTTATTATAAGCTGCAGGGAAAAAAAGAATAATCTTTTGTGGATATTTAATGGGCTGATAACGAAGTGTCGAAATAGTAACAGGTGTAGTTAGAGAGCCACACAGTGAGCTCCAGTCAAAACACCCAGCCTATATAATAAGAATAAATACACAGAAACACGCAGGCTGCTGCCTTGCCCTTAGGCCACCGGCAAGCAACAGAAATAAAATAAAAAAAACCCGTAAAAGCAGAAGCCAAAGCTCGTGGTCACAGCCTGAAGAGGAGCAAGGGGAAATAAAGGAGAAGGGGAGGAGAGGGGAGTTATACTGTCTCTCAGATTTCCTGCCATTCAAAACAAACCAGCAAGCAGAAACAGAGAGAGAGAGAGAGAGAGAGAGAGGGAGAGGGAGAGGGAGAGAGCGACCAGTAGCTCTAACCCAGAGATAAGCCCTAATCATTCTTGTTTTGGATGTTTTTTTTTTCAGCTCAGCTGTAACTGTAACCAAAGCGACTCCATGATATTATTAAAGTGCAGACTGTGACCGTGCTGACGCCGGGACGCCGGGACGCCGGGATTGACTCTGCACTTTAATTAAGCAACTATTTCCCCTCCCATCTGTTACTGCATGCGTCTGTTTCTCTGTCCTCACCGGTTACATTAATAATAATAATAATAATAATGACAATAACAACAGCAACAATAATAATAATGAAAATGATAATAGTAATAATATGCATTTATAAATAACTCTTTTGATTCATTATTAGGTAACTTTTTCTCTTTTGACAGTACTTCTTATTGATTTTTCTTCATATGCTGCTGGAATTACATTTTCCACTTCATCACTTCTCTTATAGCTGAAAAAAATGCCCCTAAAACGAGCTTAAATATTCTCCAACATCTTCCTCTTTCTTCTTGATCAAGACTATTTAGCCTATATAGTCTCGCAGTATCATATCTGAATAAAAGTCCTCATGAAGAAATAGCAACGGCCCGGGCGGAGACACACAGGCGGTGCAGGGGCTACGCGTTGACTAGCCTCCTTTTATAAAACTTCTCAAGGCCTTTTATATTTTAATTAACCGTTACCGATTGTTTTGCCTCGAGGCTCGACGTGAAACCTCTGCACGACGAGACCGGTGAAGGCCGGTTGTCGCGCGCCAGGTATTAAAAAAGGAAAGAGAGAGAGAGAGAGAGGGAGGAAGAGGAAGAGGGAGAGAGACAGAGAGAGGGTGAGGGTGGGGTGAGGGAAGGAGGAGGGATGAATGGGAAGGCCACAAGGCAAAGAGAGATGGAAAGAGCTTTGGTGTCAATTAAGGAACCTTAAGTGATTCTAAATGGGATCATATGATCATGATTTTCAGATTTTTGTGCAGTTTTGGACAAAAAATATCAAGAAAAACTGACATGTATTACATTTTAAAACCACAACAAAAGGTGGGTGCATGGGTGTAGGTGTAATTTGATTTTTTTTTTTTTTTTTTTTTTTTTTTAAAGGGGGGGGGGGGGGGGGGGACAAGGTGGATCAACCTCTGGGCAGGAAATCATGCTGACACATATAGAGGCCTGCAGTGGATAGAAGCTCCTGTCACATCATTATCAAGACCGGATCACAGGAGGGAAACTTACCTGAGAATATACATGTAGCTTGAAGGTCTGAGAGATGATCTCATGTGGAAGTCAAGCATGCATGACAATATGAAACCTGGCTTGTTTGTTTTTTTAACCCCTTTATAGTCGTTCAGCGAGTTTCCTACAACTTCAGGCCCCCCCTCCCCTCCCCTCCCCATCCAAACTCTGCACACTCCATTGACCAGTGTCCTAACACATCTGTGAGCGCATGAGTCAGATCTGCTTTATTTATGTCAGGAAGTTTTGGTGGTGAACTCTCGCTGTTGCCTGCATGAGACAGACGTATATGTATGCAGGGAGCGCAGCCACCGTCGCCGCCAACCCGAGGCACCAGTTGCACGGTAGACGGTCCTAATGGGGCTTAATGTCGATGAGTAGCCCCGCTTTACCGGGGGCTGGGAGCGCCGCACCAGATGCGCACTGATCTCCGGACAGGAGCCAGTCCATCTGCCGCCTGACGAGGCAGGGAAAGGCCCGAAAACCCCGCACAGTACAGCCCAGAGGCGAGAATTTAGATCAGCCTCAAGGTTTCTGGATGGACCGCTGCTCCTGCAGAGAGCAGGGGGCCCTGTTGTCATATTTCTAGAGCGAGTGTCAGGAAGTGAGACAGCACGGACGGGCAGAAGATTAGGATTTGAGCTCACAGACCTTGACTCACTGACTAATAATGTGACCTTAACTGTTGTAACAGAGGACACATTTGACATTGGCATAAATGTATTTAGAGGAAACATCTAAACAATCATGTCACAAAGCATTAAGGACTCAAAGCTAAATTTAGTAAAACATCTACTACCTCTTTGACCACATCAGCCATCAGAGTCATTCAACTCCTAGAAAGTGATGATTTTAGAGGAAAAAATCTACTGATCATCAGTTTTTGACAATCTCCACAGCGCGTAACATTACATTGATTTGACTGCAGCTCTCAAACAACTCAAACAACAAACTCCAGTCAAACATATTGTGTTCACCACACCCCAGTTTAAAGTTCATACTGTGAGAAAAGAACCACATTTCCCACGTGTTACCAAGAGGGATGTCACCCCCCCCCACCCCCTCTATTTGTTTAATATCAAACCCGATTGGTTTAAATTGGTTCAGTGAGCCACCACTTATTTAGCCTATATTAGATCACTGTATAGCCTGCAGTCATTTAGCCCATTGCTACCAGTGTTAACAGTAATCCCCTTATAGGCTTTAAGGCTGTACTATATTGTGTCAGACTGGAACAGTTAGAGCAAGTGATGATGCGTTTAGTGGGTGTGGGGATCCATGTGGGTTTTTAATGGGCCCACATATACTCGTGTCCTATACATGAGTTTGTTACCAAACTAATACAAATGAGAATCGGATCTTTTCTTCAGTTAGAGGAAAAACACATCTAAAAACTCACGAGACTGTGTGTGTGTGTGTGTGTGTGTGTGTGTGTGTGTGTGTGTGTGTGTGTGTGTGTGTGTGTGTGTGTGTGTGTGTGTGTGTGTGTACGCGCGCGCGTGTGTTGGCCTTGTTTATGAGTCTGCTTTGGTTTTAATAAGCACCGGTCAGACACCGACCTCATATGGCCAAGAGCGTCCGTTAACTCGGTCCTTTACCCTGTGTGTGTGTGTGTGTGTGTGTGTGTGTGTTGTGTGTGTGTGTGTGTGTGTGTGTGTGTAGGCCTGCACCTTTCCAGCCCAAATAACGACTGCGACTGGCAATAATGAAGGCAACCATAACAAACGGCCCAGAAGATGTTTGTCCTCCATCAACAGAAAAAGCAATTAAGAAAATGGTGTCTGACCTACATAGAGGATGCGCCTCGAAGGAAGCACAAGGTTAATATGCTAATATGGATCTGCTAATTGTGGGGATACTTGTCGGTTTGCGGGGGAGGAGGAGGGGGGTGGGCGGATGGGAGGGGGCCGGGGGTCACTGCCTTGTTT